AGTTCTTGCCAGAGTTGTTTTTAACCCATCTGCAGTGTGTTTAAAAACGACACGATTATTTCAAGAACTTTCATTTACAAAAAGAAAGAAATAAGAAATAACAAGAGGGATGGGAGGGGGGCGCTAGAGATCGGGTATTGGTGGTGATGTTGTACATGAGCAAGTGAATATTAAGACAGTGTCAAATTGATTTAATTATATAAAACAGTAACACAAGAATTTTTTTTTAAAGTCATGCGATACTTAACGCAGCAGGTACGTATCGTTTGTCAAGAAAAGTGTCATACTGACAGTGTTGGACTTTGTGTGAAAGTAAAACTAGGTTGTAAACTAGAGCAAAGCTCGTTGCAAAGCAACGAGTAGGTCTTCCGTCCGATTTACGATGTTGACTGATAGATTTACTCAAAAAAAGAAGGAAGAACAAGTATATTTGAATAAAATAGGCAATTGAATTATTCAAAATATGTTTAGAAACACATGAAAGAGTGATATCTTTTAATTTCAACCCATTTCCGGTTCTTTTAAATTCACTTCTGGTATGACAAGAAGTGCTCAAAACGACTTAAAACTCCACAGTGAGTGTGTACAAATCTTTCCTGAAAGTTTGGATGAAAAATACTCATTTTTTGGACAACTTCCGGTTTAGAAGTACAACTTCCGGTTGAAATGAAATGACTTGAAACACAATATATGTCAATGTTATAAACATTTAAAAATGAAAAAAATTAAAAATTGCATATTTTTAAACTACTTCCGGTGGACAACAGAAGTGACGCCATAAAAAACGAAACACTGGAGACAAATCTACAGATCATGATCTATAATCCTAGTAAGTTTCTTGACTCTATCTTTAACCATTTTAGAGAAAAGACCCGGACAAAATTTCAATATAAATAAGAAAAATCGGGAATAACTCGCGACCGGAAGTGAGATCATCAAAATAAAAAAAAATGCCTTAAGTTCATTTAATTTGCCATCATTGCTGAAAGTTTCATGAAAATTCATCGATGCATTTACGAGAAATCGCGTGCACAAAATCGGTAAGAATAATAATAATAAAACTAGACGAGTTTGTTGCAAAGCAACAAATAAGTCTTCCGTCTAAATTTGAAGGAGATGAGATTGAGATCGAGAGACTTCTACGCTCATATGTGGAAAAAATGAGCCATTTACCATTACTCTCGGTGTGACCGGAAGTGACGTCATTTTGACGACTTTTAATGGTCTCCTTAGCTGCTACTTATCATTTTGAACAACTTTGCTTCTATGATGCTATACAAATTCTCAATACTTTTTGAGATATCAGGAAAACACTTTTGGCCCCTCTAGCTCCCTAATGTTAGGGGCCAGGCCCTTATTGTTGGTATCCTTTGAAAGATCGTAACATTCTACACAACTTTTGTTCTATATGTTTTAACAAAATATTTACAGGTAAAAAGATATTATAGAAAAAGTGTTAGAAAATTTAAAATTCCCGATAGGACTTTTTTCGGGCCATAGCGAGCGCCGACGCGCGGCACTTCCCATAAAAATGAAACGCCTTCCGCATATCTACAGAGATAGGTCTACCATACCTGAAAGTTTCATGTTTCTAACTAAAGCCGTATATGAGAACATCTGCGGACAACCCGACCCTTCGAAAACCATTAAATCGGCAATATCTCAGGACCGGAAGTGACGTCATCAAAACAGAAAAAACGCATAAGGTTCAACTGATGCTACATATGTCCTGAAAGTTTCATGGAAATCCATCGAGCCGTTTTCGAGAAATCGCGTGCACAAAATCGGCAAGAAAAAAAAACAATAATAATAATAAAAGTGAAAAAGAAACCTAAGAATAACAAGAAGGTCTTCCGCTGAAGACGGAAGACCTTAATAAATGATTTCATAAAAACAACTGCCCTGGTTATGAAAAATGAATTCATTCTCACTCTCCCTTCTTTCTCTCTTCCGATTGCTTTATTTTTCTCTCAATAGATCGAAGTGTCAAACGATGAAAATGATCAGATTTTGATTGATAAAACATGCAAACATCTTGCAAATATGCAATGGAATTTTTAAAAAGAAATACTTGCTTGTTTGAAGATCGTATATTTATACTAGGTTTTAGCCATGATTATGATATTCTTTAAAATTAAGCTGCAAAATGACATGATAGTTTGTAAACATTGTATAGCTTTGAACAGCGATTGGTTAGTCAAAGTGAATTTTCACGACTGAGTAATTTTGATCGACTGTGCTGTAGCTATCTTGCGTAAAAAATCCAAAAAAACAATTTCAGTCTTATTTTACCAGCTCATATGAACTTACTCCCGTATGTAACTCAATATATTCAGGTAATTGTCTCCTATGACCTTTAAATGAGAGAAAAAAGGAGGGTTGGTGGTCAAAACATTAATTTAATTAAGGAGGTTGGATCCTGCCATCAAAAGTAATGTGAATTTTTTATCAAGACTTAGTATAATTTTAGAATTTATACACATTGCTTAATTAAAAATCAAAACAAAAATTGGGGGTCAGTGCGTTTCTTTTGGCGCTACAGAGCATTTAGTTTGACCTTTTTGCACTGTAAATACGGCTTACACATAAATCATTTTTTAAAGTTTTTCCTCCAATATTTTTTATTCAAATAAATTATGGGAACAAACACAGTCCTATTTCATCTTGAATAGACACATTAAAGTTTGTGACAACGAAAAAAATTTCAAATTACTCCGCATGTTCAATTATTTGACCTTTTTGCACTCAAAATTTTCATTTTTCTGGCATTTAAACTTTAACAAGCAAAAAAATCATTTGAAAGTAATGACATTTTACTGAATTTAAGAAGAATGGCTAAAAATATCTTATATATTCAGAAAAAAAATAAGAAGTGGGGGTCGGTGATGTTAATTTTTAGATATTACTAAAATAGTGCTAATTTTAAGTTTAAAATAGGGATATTTGTTTCTTGATTTTCACAATATATTTACTATATTTATCAAATATGATGATAGAATTCATGAAAGTTTATTTAATATATAATTTAGGACCAGTATAAAACAGTTCACTGCACAAAATAACTCTGTGTGTAGATTGCATGTAAAAATAGGAATCCAAATTTAACATACTTTAAATACTTCGAAAGAGAAAAAAATGATCATTTTCTAGAAAAAAAACTTTCCGCCACAAAATATAGTTCCTTACTTAATGCTTTTGGTTTTGAATTTTATCATGGAGTTTTAACTGAATATAGTTTAATTGGCATTGTAGAATCCAAATTTATTGTTAGAATTAAAACTTTATGCAGAATTTTTAAAATATAGGTAAAAATCTGCTCAAAAGCTCAGGAGCGAACCTCGTTAAATGCATATTTGGAAGGGTGTGTGTGCGTGTAATAATTATAGATTCAATTTAAAAATTAAACAAAAAAAGGGGGGGGGCGAAATAGTATAATTTGAAAATTAAATGAATATTACTTGTAAGATGAAATTTGATTATAATTTTACCAAATCAACTTAGTACTGAGGGTTCAAATGAGATTGCTTCGAGGTCACGTGATGGTCAGTATTCAGAGATCCTTGGCAGTATTGATGTAATTTTAATAGTAATACACATTTCACTAAATCTAATTGATTTCCAGCATCCAATATACAACGGGTGGGTATGGGATGGGCATTTGATCCCTCAGTACTAAGTTGATTTGGTAAAATTATAATCAAATTTCATCTTACAAGTAATATTCATTTAATTTTCAAATTTTACCAAATCAACCGTACTGAGGGAACCAATGAGATTTTAGAGACAATACTTCAAAGGATTCATAATATACTATATATATTAAAAACAAATGCAACAGTTCACTTTTATTCTAGTTGTACATAACATGATCATGCATATTTAACATTATGACATCTACATTCTAAACAAAAGCAACACATTTTGATTTTATAACTATGAGTATGTTTGTAAAACAGTACTTCCTATATTCACTTTTTCCTCACTACATGGTTTATTATAAAACTTTCGAAATGTACAATCTGATTTCCAACCCGCTACATTCAAAATGGTCGTAATTGGTACATTTGCGGATTTTGCAGCACTCATCGATGCTGTTCTTGTGCTGTGAGCCTTAAACATTTTTACATTAATTCCAGAATTTTCTAAGACAGTCCTTATCCAATTGCTATCCAATTGTCTGTTTGGAGACCTTTTGATGAGGTGCCATGGTGCTAATGAACAGCTGTGTTTCTTCGCCACGCAAGGATTGTGTACGTCCTATGTATTCTTGTAAGGTTTTCACAACACATAAGCGTTCATCTTGTTTGAAGCGCACAAGTTCAATAGGTTGTAAATGATTGCCAGGTTTGGATTGTTTTAACAGGTCACCAAAATGAATTTTTACAAAATCATTGTTTATCAATATATTTCTAATATCTATCAGATGTAAAGATTGACATCTTTGTCCTGTCAATAAAGCAATCAACATAGCTAGCTTCCAACTCAAAAATCTAAGACTAATAGTATTTACAGGAATAAGAGTTTTCAAATATTCTAAAACTACAGAAACATCCCATGTACATGTATATCTAGGTAAAGATGGTCTTCTGTTAAATATGCCTCTCAGGAATCTCTTAATCAAACTACTGCTACCAAGACTAGTTTCAGGATTAATAATGTCAAAAATCGAAGAAATACATGATTTTGCTGTGTTCACAGCACTATAACCTAATCCACTTTTGTACAATTCTAATAGGAACTCTAAAACATGATTTACAGATGCTTGAAATGGACTAATAGATTTTCGCTCACAAAATAGCATCCATTTGTGGAAATACGTCCAATATTGCTGTTGTGTGGATTTTCTCCAGGATGATAATAAAATGTCTGCAATGTCTTCCGATATGTTTTGCTGTCTGAGGTTCTCCCTGATATTTTGCATGCAAATAGTCTCATTTTTGACAAAGGGTGCTTCTCGGTTGGCGACATTGGAAGAGTTAATAGATGATGTCGCTTGGGTTCCACCAGTAATCGGAGTAATTTTGTGAACCAATGCTGAGTTGTCCAAAGAGGCGCCACCAGAACTGCTTTGCATCTGTTTGTCTCTATCTTTTGAATGACTCTCCCCAACAAGCTAAAAGGAGGAAACATATAATATAGTTTATCATAGGTCCATGTAAAGCTGAAAGCATCTACAGCAACTGCTGTAGGGTCTGGTAAAAATGACACATATGTAGTTAACTGTGTATTGATTCTGGAAGCAAATAAATCAATGTCAGGGGCTCCGAGCTGTTCACAAATGTTTTGAAACACGGTCTTGTCTAACATCCATTCCAAATCCTTAGATAAATTTCTTGAGAGTTTGTCTGCTTCAAAGTTTTTCTTACCAGGAAGATGACAAGCGGTTAACCAAATATTTCGACGTTTACACCAAAGCCATATTTCTCTCGCCAAGTTGTGTAATGTTGGAATTTTACCTCCCATATTTTGTAAATAGGAGACAGCTACTGTATTGTCCATACATAGTTTTATATGACAATCCTTTTAAATAGAGCAAAAACTTTTTAAGGTTAAGAATCCAGCCAAAAGTTCCAAATAATTGATGTGATTTTGTTGTTCTGTGTAAGAACAGTGTCCCCCTGTTCTTTTTGAAGAGTCACCTTGTAGTAGTCCCCCCCATCCTGAGCCTGAACTATCACTCTCTAAAACCACATGTGGTTCGGGTCTATTGATAGGGCAGAAACTTGTGTGGAGATTGTTAATCCACCATGTTAAGAGATCTCGCACTGATTCTGATATTTTAAAACCGGAATCATAATCACCTCTGGCATGTTTTAATGCTTGTTCTTTTTCATGTTCTAAGTCTTTCAAATATAGTGGTGCAAATTGGACACCTGGTTGACATGCAACCAACTTTCCTATGACTTGTGAAAAGTCTCATAGAAATTTCAACTTTATTAAGTACTTTTTTGCACAAAGATACTATTTTGTCTGCTTTTTCACAAGTTACTGACACAGTCATTTTTTCTGAATTCAATAAAAATCCCAAAAATTCTATTTCCTTAGTTGGAACAAATATTGACTTTTCAGGGTGAACTGTAAGTCCTAAGTTATCCATAAGTATTACTGTGTCTATCACGTTTTTTGTACAAGAATTATAAGAATCACCCTGAAGCAAGCAGTCATCAATATAGCACACTATTGAATGTCCCAATTTCCTCAATTGTGAAAGGACTGGCTTCAAAGTTTTGTGAACACTCTTGGAGATGTAGATAATCCCATGGGTAGACAAGTAAATTGAAATAATTGGTCTTTCCACATAAAGCGGAGATATTTTCTGTCTGCCCTTGTTACTGGGACTGAATAAAAAGCATCTTTTAGGTCAATGGAAGCAAACCAACAATCTTGTTTCATTAGGTTTATAGCTGATTTTAATGTGTCCATCTTGAAATGGATGTGTTCCACTTCTGAATTAAATTTTTTCAGATTTAAAATGAGTCTGATTGAACCATCTTTTTTCTCACGAGGAAAGATTGTTGATATATATTGATCAGAATAAAAGTCATTCCCTTTTTCAATTATGTTTTTAGCTAAGAATTTGGAAATTTCCCTATCTAGGCCTTCTTCTTCAGCAGTAGAAAATTTTATGTTTCTTGGAACCAATTTTTGTAAGGGTTCACTTGCAAGTTCGATTTCATAGCCTGATACTACATTTAAAGTCCAAGGATCAGAGGTGATCTCTGACCACTTATTTCTGAATGAAGATATTTTACCCCCAGTAAAATTGTCAGGGTTATTTTTCAGTCTCATGTTTCTTGTACCAGTATCTGTATTACTTACAGTTATAGGGTTCTGTTCTAGTCTTTTTTGTTCCGTTGAAATTTTTGGGACTGGCGCTTCTCTAAAAAAGGACTCTTGTTGGCATTGTTCCTGTTATTGTTCATTGCATGTCGTCCGTATGATGGATACTTATAGCTGTTCTGCCTGTTCTGTGAGTAACAATTCCTGATATTTGAATACATGGGAGAATATCGTTGTGACTGATTGTGCTTGTCTGTGATTTTCCTGCTGACTTTTTTGGCATCAGTTATTTCTTTTATTTGTTTTTCCAGGTCATCCCCAAACAAATAATCTGTCATAGGAATTTCTGATGCACATAATGCCTTGTACTCATTAGACAGCTCTGGTCTAAGTGACAATCTTCTTCGTTGTGACATCTCTGAGAACCCCAGTTGTAAAAGTTTAAAGGTGTCATTACATAGAGCAAAACAGTCACTTACATCTGTTTGTGTAAGTCCTTGTTTCCCCGTTTGTGCTTTCAGAAGTTTGTCCATTAAATGGATCAAGGGATAAAAGGTTTTGCACATAGTACTTTGTATGTGTTGTAGTTTTAAATCTCGATCTCTGGCTTTCCTTGGTAGGCTGGACCAGATGCCCTTATTAATTCTAGGGACTGTTATTTTTTCACAGTTTTGTGGTTTCATGTGTTTTGCCAGTAGGTCTTTCTTTTTGGTTTCTCCGATGCGTGTCCTCATGCTATCATTAACAATTTTTGCAAGTCTATCTTCTATTTTCCCTGAGCATTTTTCTTCTTGCTTGTAAAACAGTTCCATTGAAGAAAGTATGTCCTCTGAATCCTTTTCTTCTATGTTATCATCCGCAATTGTGATTGTATTAGCTATTTTATCTAAGTCGTTTGTCCAATCTCCGTCTGGTTCTTCGTCCGAATTTCCTCGGGAATCTTCAGACAATACGTATGAATTGTCTTCTTCCATTGGGCGGGTTATGGTTGCCGTCGGCTGGTTAATTTTAGGCATATAGTTTATTTGAAGCATCATTTGATGCATTAGTTCTGTCTGTTTCACTAGGAACGTCTCTAATGCCGGTGCCCTCATTTCTCCTGTAACATTGTTTTTGTTTTTACCGGATGAAGTCATTTTTTACATTTCGAGCCAGATTCAAATGGAGCATGTGTGCCGTATCGTGTTTCACATTGAGATTCTGTTTCACAGTCAGCTAATTCAATGTTTCTATCCTCCGCAGATCCACAATTGGTTTTCGACTGCGGCTGTGTCCCAGAATTGGGCTCAGTGTTATCAGTGTTTTCTAACCCAGAATTGGGTACATGTAATAAAGAAGTGCTTGTCCCACAACTGGGCCCAGCATCAAGCTCCCGCCTTGCGGCGTGTGGCATTCTGTGTTTACAGAAATTATGCCAGTGTTTGGAATAAGTTTCAAAGTTGTTCTGCAACTATTCCGTAAGTTTTTAACACATCAGAATACTGAATAAAAGTCAAAATAATGGTAAATATCAATAAAATCCAGAGAGATGAAGATGCACGTCTTTGTAAACAAAGAAACCTCAAAGCACTGACCATCACGTGACCTCGAAGCAATCTCATTGGTTCCCTCAGTACGGTTGATTTGGTAAAATTTAGATTTGCTAAATTGTTTTTATTTAGGTTGCAATACCATAAGAAATTTAAATTAGTATACCGAGGTACTGCTTACTCGGGTTAAAAAATACATGTAGATTTAATATATTGTTTTCAATAAGCAATAATACTGTATATTGTTAATAAGCATACAGTAATACTACAAAGTCGGCAATAAACATAATAATTAGCACACAGCATTAGCCTATACATTTGTTCGATTATTAACAGATTATTTGAATTTGTGTTGTGTATGTGTGAACAAAAATCGACCAGGAAGGAGTTAAGCCAAATTGAATTTAGAAATTTTGGTTTTGTGCTATAGCATAACTATCATTTTAAAATGCCAAAAAGCCAAAAGATGTCGGCTAAAATGCCAGTAATTTTGTGAGGGAACTCCCATCAGGTGCTAGTCCCAAACTCCGTGCAGGTTTGTTTCGGTAATGAATTGGCCATTCATTCTAGCACGACAAACCTGTCCTCGCCATTTCCGGTAGATTTGTATATATTCTAGTGTGTAAACAAAAAAGGTGTTTGTGTATTATATAATCATGGTTATCTATCTTACACTAAATTCATAACTCTTAGCTAAGGCACTTACCTTCAATCTTGTATATTCTTCTATGTTGAAATACACCATGGCGACTCGACAGGGTTCTTCTCCGTTGACATGACGTCATTTTATAGCGTATGACGTAACAGTACTCCAAAGGGTTACAACTATTGGAGTATTATTTTAGGAATGACTCTAATTCTTGGCCAAATTATTCGAGTATAACCTGGTTTGGGTCAGTTTACGCTGTTTTATAATCCGCGAAGCGCAGCGGATTATAAAACAGCGTAAACTGACCCAAACCAGGTTATACTCGAATAATTTGGCCAAGAATTAGAGTCATTCCTTATAATTTAATTTTAAAATCATTAAATAACTATGGGTGTAAAATTTCGTTGCTTTTTATTAGTTCAAATTTGCCGTTCAATAATACAACCGTAGTAACAGAAGTAACGGAAGTGATGGGAAGCAAGGGGAGGTAAAAACTGATACATAGGCTTAGCAGCCTTGTTGTTTGTTTACATGTGGTAAGATCGAATTACTGTTTGAAGTTAAGGGTACATTTATCAAATCTGGAATTTTCCATGAATCCCGAGGACTGGAAATGAGAGGATTGTATGGATACAGATGATTCAGCTGGTTGTCAGGGGGGGGGGGGGTGTCCCCATACCAAACCAGGTTATACAGAAATAGTTTGTGTTCCTTTTTGGATATTAACCAATCAGAAGCTAGAATACAAACAAAATTAAATTATTTACAGATATAAAGTATAAAGCAGATTGTTTAAAATAATATAAATTAGAGGGAATTGAAAATACTAATGATGAATAATTTTAATTTAGGAATGACTGATTCTTGGCCAAATTATTCGAGTATAACCTGGTTTGGGTCAGTTTACGCTTTATAATCCGCGAAGCGGATTATAAAACAGCGTAAACTGACCCAAACCAGGTTATACTCGAATAATTTGGCCAAGAATTAGAGTCATTCCTTATAATTTAATGTTAAAATCATTAAATAACTATGGGTGTAAAATTTCGTTGCTTTTTATTAGTTCAAATTTGCCGCTCAATAATACAACCTTAGTAACGGAAGTGATGGGAAGCGAGGGGAGGTAAAAACTGATACAGAGGCCTAGCAGCCTTGCTGTTTGTTTACATGTGGTAAGATCGAATTATTGTTTGAAGTTAAAGGTACATTTATCAAATCTGGAATTTTCCATGAATCCCGAGGACTGGAAATGAGAGGATTGTATGGATACAGATGATTCAGCTGGTTGTCAGGGGGGTGTGTCCCCATACCAAACCAGGTTATACAGAAATAACTTGCGTAGCTTTTTGGATATTAACCAATCAGAGGCTAGAATACAAACAAAATTAAATTATATATAGATTTAATTTAGTATTAACAAAATGAAAAAAAGCACGAACAAAGTAAAGATACAAAATTAAAAAGGATGTCTAAGAGTACGTCATAGGTCTGAGTTACTGTTAGGTCAAATGTCGAAAAAGTAGCACGTGGTATGATAACTGCTCTGCTTTTTTTTTTTTCAAAAAAAGTTACATTTCTGGACTTTTTGAATGCAGAAATACGAATATTTTGTGTAATTGATATGCAGTAAGTATTTTAACGGCTGTTGGAGTATTGCTTTATATCAAAACTGTGAAAAAACGCGTTATATTCCATGTGAGACCTGTCACCTTCCCCAACAATCATGGCGGACATGAGAAAATCGAAAACGCCAGCAAGGTATACTGATTGTTTCACAGGTGATGAACTTGATTCTTTGGTAGAAAATGATACACAAGATATAAGTGTTAACCCAGAAAATATGAACACAAAGTTTGAAACACTAAAAACGCACACACAAATTGATGGCAAAACAAACAATGTGACCTTTACAACATCAAAGGATCGTATCTCGCTATGGAAACAAAGCATCCTGGAACACTTTGGTCCTTCACATGCATCAATTATGAAAGACGGTAAAGTAATCAAAGTGTTGTTTGAAGCAAATAAAGTCTCAAATACGATAAAAATTAACTTTTATGACACTGGTTCGGTTGTTATCCAAGGTGCAAAGAGCACTTTATTTTCCGAAACCTTCTTTCAAACCCTTAAAAAAAGAGTTAATGAGAGAGATATCACTAATGACATTATATCCCAGAATCCAAATGAAAGTCCAGATCTGGAGGAAACGGTCCCAAAATCAATTGAAAGTAATACTTTTGATCCTGACAACACTCCAAAGAAACTTAGTCCAAAAGAAAAAGTCATGAGACACAGCAAAACTATGGAACACAAATTTGATGAAATCCATAATATCCTTTCTACAATAGACAACACACTGAAACAATTTGCTGATAAAATATCAGAACTTTACTGTATGAAGACCCAAATATTACAGTCTGTGATCTGTGATCAATCTGTGATCTCGGATTCCATGAACACACACAGGAAAAAAGTGTCGAACACCTAGATACTATTGAATCCAAAATCAAACATTTGAGCAGTTCTCTGGATTCGCTGCATGTGAAATCCAACATTTTTGATTCTCATGTAAAACAACTTGTGGAAACACAAACTGATCAATCCACATTGATTTCCACACTTTCATCTAATCTTACAGATCTAATTGATCGTGTAAACCAACTTGAGTCTACCTCGTCATTCATTTCCTGTGACTTTCATGCACAGAATGAAAATAATTGTCAACTCCATTTGCCACATCATGAAGAAAATCCAAAGGATACAAAAACTCAAACATCTAATTCTGACGAAGAAAAATCTCGACACTTAGAATGCACCAATAGTTTACCACTCAATTCATCCAAAATTGAATGTGATGTCCTAATTCTGAGTGACTCGATGCTGAAACGTATTCAACCACGGCGCTTCACTCCACGCGGTAAAACAATAGTCCGTTTCATAAGAGGAGGAGCCAATGCATGTTCCAATTTCGTGGAGAAAAACTGTCATAAATACAATCCAAAGGAGGTTCTTATTCATATTGGAACAAGGGAATTGCCCAGCAGTGTAAAAAAAGAGGACTTTGTTCATCTACTAAGTCTTTGTTCCGAATCATGGGAGAACTCTCAGATCCACATTTTGCCAGTTATCTACCGTAAAGACTTTGGAAATGAAATCATTGATAAAGCCAATACAGAAATCTATTTGGCATGCAAACAATTTCCAGAAGTACAAATTATAGATGAATTTTTGCCCACAGAAAGCATGTATTATGATAAAATTCATCTGAACATGAAGGTGGGTTTACCAGCTATAGTTAAACACTTAAAGGAAGCCCTTGGCATAAAGACAGTATCCCAAGCTCCATCGGCAACTCTGAAATCTCTAACAAAGGGACAAACAGAAAGAATTTCTCCTGCTGTTCCCCATTTAGCACCATTCGGTCATCAGGCCACACCGCCCCCTTGGATCGGCCCACAATCAGTGCCCCCACCTCCGTGGTTATTCCCATTCATCAATTGGCGCAACCCATGGGCAATTCCTCCGCCTCCTCCACCCAAGTGTTACTAATTTTATACTAAATACAGAGCCTTGTATGTTTTTCATTTTCATACCTATTAAGGTGTTAATGTATTTCAGTACATGTGTATTAATTCAGGTACAGTGTTAGATCACATTATGTACTGGTAACCGTATATAATATGTATGATATTGATATTGTAGATATTCATGCAATAATAATCTCCATCAGCTCTTTTTGATAAAATTATATTTGTATTATGTGTAGAAAGCAGTTACATGTAGGGTATAATGAACATTTTTTGAAATTAGGTATGTGGAATGTTGAAGGCCTCACAAATGAGAAGACCTCTGACCCACAATTTCAAAATATTTTTTCCAATTTTAGCATTATCAGTTTTGGTAGAAACCTGGTTGGGTGATATTGATGTTAACAAAGATATTACACTGAATAATTTTC